ATACATATATATATATATGTATAACATATTTAGACCACTAATAATGTAGATAGTGCAGAATAATGTATTAGGAACAGGTGCAATATCTGAGACTGAATTGACATAGGATGGCATTGTGTCACATGGGAGCCAATCTGGGCTGCTTCCTCTGCTGGGAAGCGAAGCTTGGGTTCACTGGCAGCGGTTAGTGCGATTGGATACGAGGCTGGAATGCATACACAACCAACTGGTCCTGTTTGAGTCGTACAGAAGAGCCAAAACATAAACCTGCACCAAGTGCTGGATGGCTGCGTCTGACCTGTCAGGTCATTGTTACGCTTGCTAGGCAGCGTTTTTTGTGCGCGCAGCGTCTTCTAATTCCAGGTGCAACAACAAGCCACTTGCACCTGATAGGTTCTTTGCATCGTTTCAAAATATCTCTCGTGGTGATGCTCGTTAAATTTTGAGGTGCACCGTGGCACTACGGGCCCGTTCATATGCAGTCTTCCGACTGGCATGTTTGGTCGGCTCATGGACATCGATCAGTCGGGCATTGACCTGGATCTTTGAACACGGCAAGATTGTGTTTTAAGGTTTTGCAAGCGATGAACACCAACTCAGCGCGTCTCCTCCTTCCAAGCACGCCGTGAGCGCACCAACTACTCAGGGAGGTGCAACGCGCAGTGTCCTGGCCCCTTAAACGCCCGTAACGCCAAAGCCCACCTAGCATGATTGTGGCATTTCTTTCGATGCCAGTCAGTCGTCATCCAAGTCACTGTTAACGGTCAACTTTACGAATTGGCGCCCTCTGGTTGAGTATCGGGCTCTCGAGGCTTCGGTATCACTTAAGTAAGTGTAAGGGGTGTGATTGTTGGGTTTGTGGATGGTCGCGGTTATATCGATGCTGTCAGTCCGGCTGCTGTTGTTGTTTCAGTGACATATGGCCATGATTCCGTTATTGGTCGCAGCGTGACGCTTCACACGTGCAGACACTGGCCCGGACATGCCTCAGAGGTAATGCTCACCGCTCACCCATAATCATGCCACAATCCAATCATTGAAGAAGAGAATACTTTTTCTGTGCACATCTACATGCGAACATGTTGTTTGTACTTATGTTCTTAGCATGTCTATGCTTCTGTATATTTGGATGTACATGTACGTACATATTTAATATGTATACATATGTATATTCATGTATTGGGTACTTGGCCCCAGAAGTTCTAGCATTGAGACTTCAAGCCCCTGTATCTCACATGGGCCACAAAGCCTTACAACCCTCCTGACGAGATGTAGTAAACCCGCACAATTGCTCAACAAATCTTCACACGCCCATTCATTGACCCCTGCAGGCAAAAGGCTTACGAGTTGAAGTTCGTTGTTTTCGAACCTACACGAGTCGAGATGTGAAATGTGAGCTTCCATAGTAGAATGCGTGCCTAAGCCGCCTGTACTCACCATGGTTGTCGTTTCCACAGACGTATTGAATCCCGGGAAGTGAGTCCTACTGTTGATATAAATCCTGCATTACAATAAGGACCCTAAACTATGGGAATTATGGTATATTCCTTATTATGGGTGATGCAGGATTTATATCATCAACCGTATCATGTTAGTCTGTCTTGAGCCCCAAAGCCTTTAACGCCTGAACCCAAAAGCTGCAAATGCCTGGTTTGTCCGAGCGCGAGTGTCAAAAACCGTTAAACGTGGAAGGATCTTTTCGCCAGTCTTACAACTCCGAAAATCCTAACAAAGCCTAGGATCCCTTTGGCCGCCATCTCTAAGCTCCCTGCGCGCAAACCCTGAAGCATCCTATCGCAAGGAGCACCCCAAGCCATCCTAAACGCTAAGCCTCAAAAGCTCTAACACCCTCAACCCTAACCCCAAAAGCCCTGACGAAGAATCATTTCGCCAGGAGCACCACCAGAGGTCCTTACGTTTGTTTGACTACGGCGGAACTGGCTCAGAGGTTGCACCGTGCCACTGAGCAGCACGGACAGAGTGGTGCTTTATCGGCTGCGTTTTCTGAATCCGTCTGGCACGGCTTCGATGGAGGAATCCCGGAAGGTCGTGCTCAACACTAACCACCCAGGACATAATTTGTGTCGGCTTCAAAAGGGACAACATAGGGTAACATTTGTATATATGTATGTACATATACATAACATATTTATATATATATATATATATATGCATATGTACATGCACGAAGAGACACTGGGCTACCTAAGCTTGATGACGGCACTGACGGTGCTCATACTGGAGGGAGTGGAAATGAGCTTACTGCTGCAACAGCCTTGGAACTTTTCCTGGTATGATCTCCGCAGGCTGCAAAGGTGACAGCAGCGCTGTCGATGACGAGATGAATCCAAGTGATGAAGCTGAAACACACTGAAACTCTGCCCATTGCAGCACTACCGGGTTAGCATCAACAGCCGCACTACTAATTAGATTGCTGGAACCGATCAGGCCATAACAACAACACTAGCCCAGCAAGTTCAATGTTAGGACTTTTGGTATTGCCAAATTTTCCAACAGCAGTACTTGCAATGTTGGCTGTGGTCCTCATATTCGTGTGGCTTCTGCACATTGAAGCCACACCAGGATGCTTGCTGCGTGCGGTCTTCATAAGCAGTGAATCTGGGTGTGGAGCGATGAGGATAGGGCCAGCGTCCGTGCAAGACCATTGTTGGGTGAACCACAGGTGAGAGCACCGTAAGCTTCAAACATTACATTTTCCAGTCATATGCTAATAGAACCTATTCTATGCTGAGGCGTTGGAAAAATCCACGTTGTGAAAAGTTAGACGATGGTGGCCGAGGGTGGGTTGCAAGTAGAATCGAAATCATATAGGGGCATAAATAAGTATCAATACTGTTTGGGGGGTCCTTTTTAAAATAATACCTAGTATAATATACCCCCCCCCCAAACCCTATTAAGGCCCTATATTACCCATGTTTTGCGACACCTGCAACACCGGCACGCTGCTGCTTGAGTTTCACTTCAGCGCACCAAATCCTTGAAACCTTAGGCCCTTGAACCCCTAGCGCGGGGAAGAACCCTAGAGGCTCTCTCGAAACTGTGTGTGCGGAAAGCTTTAGCATGATTAACGATGGACGTACAGTCACGGTCGTAGTTATAAATTATAAATATTCTGCACAGTCTTCAAGATTGGGAGGCGTCCGAACTTTGCTGCATCAATTCCACAAACCTAGCCCTTCTTCTTAGCCTTAAAAGCCTGCATGTCTCGAATTCTTTGGTAGTGGCTTCATGCTCAAAGCAAAGTGTCGAGCTTGCCCACGCTGCCGGGGTACCGTTGACTGTCCGCAGCTATTTGGCTCTGACAGACCACTTGTCGACCCCAAATCCCGTCTCTTGGCGGCACTTTGGAAACACTCCCGTTTGGGGGTTAGCTTGCTTTGACAGGCAAAACAGCTAGGGAGCACAAAATACTGTGACACGCAATGCTCATAGCGCCATTTCTGTCTGCCATAAGCTCCCTGACCTTGCGCTATCGTTGCGCAAAACATCTCCCAATGCCTCCGTGGCCCTCAAGAAACGGCAGGAAGCCACGAAAGCCCTGAGGCTCTTGGCTATTTGGCTGAGCCCCACTCCCGCCCATCCCGATCTTGACGGTTAGCCCAACCCTATACCCTAAACCCTAAACCCTACCGTTAGCCCAGGTTACATAAGTGCAGCTAAGCGCTGGGACTGCGAAGCTGCGCTGGCCCGGACCTTGGAAGCCAAAGAGGCTTCCTGTGTTTAGGGGTTTAGGGTCTAGAATTTTAGGGTTAGGGGGTTAGGATCTTAGGGTTTCGGGGGTTTAGGGTTTAGGGGTACAAAAGCTCCCTTTGGCTCTTCCAATAGATGGGTCTAAAGAATTACCTAGACTATTTTGTGGGGTTCCTTATGATAATGATAGTATAGTACAACTGAAGCTTGGAGCCACGAAGTGGCCGGTCTCGCATCTCAGTCATGAGTACTGTCTTGTGGGTCAAGCCGGGCAGTAAGGGCAGCAGCCGAGTCCCTTGTGAAAAAATGATAGTATAGTATACCCTAAACCCTAAACCCTAAACCCTAAACCCTAAACCCTAGTATACCCCAAAAAACCCTATTCGAAGTATCAAGGCCCCCTGCCTTAGCGCTGTTCTTGAAGGGTGTTTTGCCAGGCTTTTAGTCCAGGTGCAGTTTAGCTCCTGACTTGTTTAGGGTTTAGGGGTTTAGGGTCTAGGGGAGAGGTTGGGAGTTCAGGGAGCGTCTGCATTTGCAGCTAGGCTTCTGTCTTGAAGGGGGTCGTAGCTCGGAGTTACAACAACGAAAGAGCAGCGGGAGATCGACATGGGTGAAACTAGATCCGGTGCAATGGTCTTCCCTCGTCATTCTGTTTTCGCTCTGCTTCGGTGATTCTTGATTTGGTGCTCCGCACTGTCTGAAGTAGTGCAGGCTGTGCGGACGAGATGGCAGTCACGGAGAAGTTTAGTACTAATATACGGGCCTAAGCAATTACAAGTACTCTCCTGGTGGTTCCTTATTTTCGGTATAGAAAAGCGGGCCCCAAAACCCTATTCTAATTATTAAGGCCCCTATGTTACCTGAAGGCTCCACCCGGCTCAACACATTCCTAGAGTCCTAGAGCCAGTCGAAACCGCAACCCCGAAGTCCTCGCCAGGTTAGTCCTCAACCCTATGCGAGCCCAAGGGCGGCTTGGTTTTCAGCAGGTAGCCCGAAACTACTCAGGTCTCTTGTGCTCTTCGTTTCCATCGATACCGGACATGTTTGCGAATCCATCCAATCTTTCCTCGTCTGCTCTGGAGTTCATGCCCCAGGTGCGCTTCAGGGACCTACTGTGGGGTTCTGAATAGTTCGAGGAAAACTGCTTAGTGCCCGCTACAGTATGCCTGGAGCCCTTTTTCGAGTTATTGACGTCCATATGGGTAGCTCTCTGAATAAAGTTCCCGTTGACGGTCCTTTTTTATAGTGCCGTGCTAATTTGGGGACCTAAGGGGGGACCCTTATTTAGAGAACTACCCATATATATATATATATATCTGCACACACACACACACATATATATATATATATATAATGTACATATATATATATACACATATAAATAGATAAGTACTTTCCACAAGATAAATGTCCAGGGCCATTCAGGGCCTGAGAGGTTCTCAGGGCCTTCCAATGAACATGCGCCTTCCGTCCGTCGCCCCATGAAAGCATCGGCTTGCCGGATTCAGGGTTTCGGGGTTTTGGTTTTCGGTTGGGTTTAGGGTTTAGGGTTTAGGGTTTAGGGTTTAGGGTTTAGGGTTTCGGTTGGGTCCCTGCGGTGCATCCTAAGGACTTTAGGAGGGACCCCTAATAGGGACTAATAGGGACCCTTAATCCCCTTACCTTACATAACCATTGTATAGTCCGCCTTATATACCCCTTATATAGCCAGGTAGTCTCCATATTAACCCCAATAACCTACAAGGGTCCCTCTTAGGGGTCCCTCCTAAAGCCCTTAGAGTGCAGGTGCCCAGCCTCCTGCAATACAAGATCCCAGAGACTCCACTACCCCTTAATTAAGGAATATACCTTAAATTCTAGTAGGATCCCTAATAAGATTTAAGGTATATTCCTTAATTAAGGGGTATTGGGGTCTCTAGGATTTTGCTTTCGCTTGAAGCTCTTTCCGGGCTGCCTCTCATAGGAACGCCATTCACGGCACCCTAAACCCTAAACCCTAAACCCTAAACCCTAGAATGCCTTCCGATACATGTCTAGCAGCCCGGCTGAGTTCCTCGCAGCGGGCTCCCAATGCCTGACTTGGGGAGATTGCCTAACCCTGCTTGGAGGTTACGTAGGGTAGTTATAAGTAGGGTTATACGTAGGGTAACTATAATTATAACCCATATTAATGAACCTCCAAGTGGCTAAGGGCGTTATCAACCAGGAGCCTTTTGAGATCATCCTGTAGGTCTCTGGGGCCTCAAAATCCCTTGCTGCTCCAGGGCGCTGCGAGTCCACAATTCAAGCAGCAGCAGTACTACCAGGCCACGTAGATCTGGGGTGGCGTGTGGGGATTGTATGTCTGCTTGAGGAGAGTTTGGTGCGCATGCTAGCCGATGTGTTTCGGCTCGGTTCAGCGGACTCTTTTGTGTTGAGGGGAATACTTCCTAAACCTTTTAACCCACTTGTTCAGCAAACTTGCAGCTTCTCGTTCGCTAGCCCGGCGAGGTGTTGGGCAACGCCTGCGACTGGAGGTTTTAAAGACCTTAACTTGGTACAGGGTTTAGGGTTTTAGTCGAATTGCGACTACTCGTTCCTTTGCAGTTTAGATTGGTTTCTGTGAGTTACCCTCCTCCAAACCCTAAAAATCCCCAAAACCTGAACCTATATTGTGAACCGATGCAGGGCTACCAGCCATACCCTGGAGTGCAGCAAAGTGGCGTGAATGCCTTTTACATGGGAGGCCGGGGCCTAAGCCTGTCGGGTCCAGCTTTTCGTTAAAACAGGGTGTAGGGTTTAGGGGTTTAGGGTTCAGGTACTTGGAACGCTCTGCTTGCCATCGGGTTTCAAGACGGTGGGAAGCCCCGTCAGAATGAGCTGCTAGCCAAGGTTACCCTTGCGGCTACTATGGCGATGCCATGCAGAGCATTCCTGCCACGCACAGCTTTGCCTCAACAGCTGCCCCCTCCACGCCTGGAGCTATCAACCTGGACGAGTTCTCTGCACCCACCTGAGTCGTTTCATGCTGGTCTGGAACCGTGTGCATGGAGGAAGCATGTCTTGCTTGTTTGCGCATGCAGCTGCCCGGCGGGTGGCAGGCAGGCGAGGTTTTGTCTCTCAAACTCTCTCTCTCTCTCTCTCTCTCTCTGTTTCTCTCTCTGCATATACACATAGAGACATGCAAGTTTACATGAAGGTAGTAAGTAGATAGGAAGGTAGGTAGGTAGGTAGGTAGGTAGGTAGGTAGGTAGGCAGGTAGGTAAGTACGTAAGTAAGTGATATGTATGTATGCATGCATGCATGTATGTATGTATGTATGTATGTATGCATGCATGTATGCGTGTATGCACGTGTACGTTCATGCGTGTGTGTCTGCATGCATGCATGGATGTACATACGTATGTATGTGTGGATATGTGTGGATGCATACCTGCATGTATGCATGTATGTACATACGTATGTATGTGTGGATATGTGTGGATGCATACTTGCATGCATGTCTGGATGCATACATGCATGTATGCATGCATTTAGATATGTCATAAAACATGAACAGCAATGTGCAGTATCGTACATGGAATGGCATGGATGGGGGGATGGACTGGAATGTACGTATGTCGGGATGCATGTCGGGCTAGGTACCTACCTACCTGCCTGCCTGCCTACCTACCTACTTACCTACCTACCTGCCAACCTACCTACCTATCTGCCTACCTACCTACTTACCTACCTACTTCCTTACTGACTTACACTTATTTACCGGCTTACTTACTTACTTACTTACTTACTTACTTACTTACTTACTTACGTACTTATTTATTTACTTATACACTTACCTACTTATATACTTACTTACTTATATACTTACTTACAGACTTACTTACTTACCTACTTACTTGCTTGCTTGCTTGCTTGCTTACTTACTTACTTACTTACCTACTTACTTACTTACTTACTTACTAACTAACTAACTTACTTACTTACTTACTTACTTACTTACTTACTTACTTACTTACTTACTTACGTTCATACATGCATACATGCCTACAGCTTACATGCCGCCATGTCTCTAGCATGCATACGTACGTAGTTCCTTGCGTACAGACATAGAATGCTCAGCGTCTGTGCTGCACGTGTGTGTTTGCAATAGGTTTGGGTTCAGGGTTCGTGAGCTCATATTGTTAGATTCCGCGGGGCCAGAGAGATAGAAGCCGGAAGCGACAGAAGCTCTGGCTCCATCGATTGCCGTCCTTTGTCGTGGAGCCGGGGTGTCGCTGCCATTCCAAGTTGCTGGCTTCGGCCAAAACTAGGCCTTTCTTACGAAAGGAAAGCTACATGACATCCTGCAGAACGTTTTTTCATCTGCACCCTGCAATCTTGAGCAACACATGCTATCTCTGAGCCTGTCACCAAGAAAAACCAATAGTTCGGCAGCTGACCTTTGGCTGTTGGCCTTGTCTTTGGAGTTATGTACTGTGTGAGTGGGGATTGGTTGTTTCATGTCTGGCTGCCTAGGATTTGTCAGACTCCGACTCAGACGACGAGGCCGTCCCCCCAGCGCAGGTGAAGGCAGGACCAGTACAGCAACATGAATGCTGTTCCGAAGTGCTCCTATTAAGGATCAAGCACGGAAACTTGTTTATGGAAAGCATTTGTGACATTGAAGCTTCCGGCAGTTCGTCAGGCTCCAGCAGAGAAAGCTGAGCTATCAGCCCCGGCTATTGACATCACATTCGAGGTTGCTGGGCTGCAAGTCTTGCAGACAGAGAGACCTTCAAGGCAGGTAATATAGGTAGGGGCCCAAATAAATACCAATATTATTTTGCGGGTTCCTTATTATAAATATACGGGCCCAATACCCTATTCTAATTAGTAAGGCCCCTACATTACCAATCCTGAGCCGGAAGTCCGTCTCACCCCAGCTCTGACTGTTTCGGCCCCTTGATGCTTAGTTTCTCTAAATCAGGGCCCCTTCTCGAATCCCCAAAACGAGCAAGCGACTCGTTGTTTTTTAAGACTTTCGAATAGGACCCCTGATTGTGACAGCGCCTCATATTCTAAACCCTAAACCCTAAACCCTAAACCCTAAACCCTTATAGTGCTTGGGAAAAATGTCCCGTAGGCTAGGCCGAAGCGCCTGGGGACTTTCGGCTTTCCGAGGAATTTAGGTGCTGCTGCCTCTGCACTTCGCTTTGGGCTCGACCTTTTCAGAAAGTTTCGGACAGTTTAGGGTTTAGGGTTTAGGGTTTAGGGTTTAGGGAGCCCTGAACTTAAATTAAGCCCTGATCCGACGAAGCAGTTTTCAGTATGACTGAGGACAAGGAGCCCGCCGAGGAGCCATCCCCATGTGCCTTGGCTTCCGCGCTTGCCTGCTTGAATTGCTTTTGAGCTTCGGTACTCGAGCTTGGGTTGTGGTATTAAGCCCCCGTTTTTGTGTCGTGGTCTAGAATTCCTCCCTTTAGGTAAGTAAGGGAAAGCCTCTTAGAAGAACCAGGTCCTCAGTCAAGCTTTTTGGGACAGGGTTTAGGGTGTAGGGTTTAGGGTTTTTGAAAAGTTTTACTAGTTCTTTGCATTGTGGAAGTCAGTGTTCAGGCGATTGCACAAGTCCTGATGCCAAAGAAGGGGTTTTTGCATGGACTCGAAGTGCGGAGTCTGCCCAGAGGGTTTTGAGGAGGAGCGGCATTCTCTGCAGTGATTAAACTCGACATCTTTAGCACCACCTCCCACTTTAAAACCCCAAGCCCCAAGCCCTCCAGCCTGAGCTGGCAAGGCTGTAATGTAGGGGCCTTAGTAATTTCCTCTACTATTTTGGGGGTTCCTTATCATACCTATAGTATAATGGCCCCAAAAACCCTATTCTATTTATCAAGGCGCCTATATTAAATCCTAAACTTCTGCAGTGGCCGAGAGCTCGTTCGGCTCCCAAGGTGACCTTGATGCGCAGTCTCTGAAGAACGATTCCGAGGCAGTGGCTGTAGGGTGCAACAGGTTTTAGGGTTCTATTAGGGTTTAGGGATTACCTGTAGTCTCCGTTGTAGTTCCTTTTGGGGGATACCTTATAGAATCCCGAATATAGAATTGGTTAAACCAAAAAAAGGAACTACAATGGAGACTATAGATAGGGCCAGTTTATGGGGTTTGTTGGGTTTAGGGTATGTGGGGTGTACCGTTTAGGAAAGGCGTACGGTACAGCCATCCTCGACCCTAAGCCCTAGACACTGCACAGCGCATGAATTTGAGTTGTCAGGTTACAGCAGCTTCATCGGTTGCTATGCAGAAATGATTCTTGTGTGGATTCCCGATCGAATGATTAATGCCCAATAGTACCTCACATTGATTTTTGTTGAGATGAACACAACAGCACACAGACGATTTTAATTGAGTTGAACGGGTGGCTTTTGATGTGATGGTGATTTGTGGAGTTGGTCCTTGGATTTGCTGCTTGGATGTGCGTCATGTCTGTCCAAGTTTCAAGTCCTTTTGTGCATGAGCGGAAGCAGAGACTGCCTGCGAGTGGGGCTAACGGGTACATTGCCCTCCGCTACGCCCGCTTCGACTGCAAACCCTCAGCACGCGCAAGAGCATTGACATTGAGCAGCTAGCAGCTAGCTTTGCTTGATTTCAGCTGAATGACAGCAGGGAGGGTTTCACGAGCGTGGAGATCTCAGCATTGCATCGGATATCTGCGCACAGCCGTCCAAGACTGCATCAAGCACGTCCTGGCGAAGTCAGCACTGTCCTGGAATTCGGCACTAACCAACTCGCAGCGGCAAGCTACTAGCAGGTTGACAGGTTGTCCGAATGACAACGAACCTCTACTGAATACACGATCAGAGAGAGCAGTACGAAGTGGCAGGGACATTTGTGCTTGGGCTCTTGTCTATGCGCGGCACTGCCACCTAGAGGGTTTTGTTGAGGGTCATGTGCTCAAGGATGCGACATCTTCCGAACTGCAAGATGCAAGCTGCTTGTCCGCACAGCAAAGCTCCACGTTTTGGGCACATATGTAGGACAATTTACCCCACAACCCTGTTCTACCTTTTCAGGTGCCTATACCAGCCTATACAAGAATTAAACCCTATATACACAATCTCATAAACGACACATTTTCCAACCCCTTAACGCCATAAACTGCAGGAAGGCCCCTTGTTTACCTAAACCCAAAACCCTAAACCCTAGGCAAAAAACCCTAAACTCCTCAAAGAATGCCTTTGAAGGACATTGGACCTACGGCTTGCCAGTGTCAATGTGTCATATCGGGGCCTTGATACTTGCAGCCGGGATAAACTTGTTTCAACTAATGCTGAACAGCGCTGGACGGTCTCAGTGTCTTCTATTGATATCGCTCAGCGCGTTTCGCCAAGGTTCACTTTCCTCTGAGCCTGAGGAGGACTGAAGCTCTCTTATAGCATTCCGAGCTACGTTCCCCTCCGCCGGTCAATTCAACTTAATGTTAGGGTCCCTTTAATAAACCCCCCCCCCCGAGGGCGTTTTGCGCGGGGGTCTCTTGGGGCAGGGTTTGGGGGGGGGGG